TCTTTCTCTGTTTCTGATACAGTAAATACAGATCTCTATCAACAAATATAATCAAACAAAAACGCGTACAGACCGATTGAACAAATTCAAACAAAATATTAGATAACATAACAACAATGGGTCAGTAGCGGAGAGAAAATGGCTTCTCGAAAAGACAGAGATGTGCAACACAAAAACTAGTGGATTACAGAAGTTCTTTACCTGTCATGATGATAACGATGTCGCTTAATAGTCCTCGCCACCGTCAAGATTACTGGAGAAGAAACCGGAGAAGATGAAATCCAAGAACATAAACTCTGAGAAGATGAAATTGATTTCTCGGCGGCTAGGTTTTTGGGGAGAAAAAAAATGAAAGTTAAAAGTTAATATTTTTGATTTTTTTTTTTATCTTATTGTTGTAAACAAGTAGTTTTTTTTAAGTGCATGGTAGGAATGTAATTGTAAGTAAAAGAAGTGCTTTGGTTTTAAGAAGTGTCTTAAAATGTTAGGTTTTATCTAGAAAGTGTGTCAAAGCGCTTTGATGGATGTAGTGAAAGAGTCGATCGAAGTCGAAATATGGGAAATCAACTCATTAGGTCAAAAGAACAAATATTTTATTTTGTAACCATAAAAAAGAATAAATTACGAAAAAAATGTTAGAGATTTGCGAAAAAATATAGTACTTATCATGAAGAGGAAGATGGGCCTCGGAGTAAAGAGGCCAAATTGAACTCATTCAGTGTAACAAACATAATTCTTTGTAAACCTGACGGAACGATAATCTAATTCAGCGAGATTCCCCGATTTAGGGTTCCGATCGAAATGGCCGATGTGACTCTTCCTCCGGTTGATTCCGTCGACGACCGCCTCCCTGAGAAGACCACCACTTCGTCTCCACCTCCTTCTTCCTCTCATCCGCAAGAGGAACAGCAGCCTCCTCACCTCCGTGATTCTCGCGAGAGGCGCGACGATAGAGACCTCGATCGTCCGCCCAATCGTCGTGACCGTGACCGTTCGCCGCTCCCTCCGCCCCGCCGGGATTATAAGAGGCGGCCTAGCGGGAGCCCTCCGCCACCGTACAGAGATAGGCGGCA